TATATATATATATTCAGTGTTCTCATGACTTTTTCAAGTCTTTCAGTCATGGACTTTTGATTGTGTCTTCAGGTTTTTGATCAGTATGTGAAGACGCGAGCGGAGGAGGAGAGGAAGGAGAAGAAGAACAAGCTGATGCAGGCCAAAGATGATTTCAGGAGAATGATGGAAGAGGCCAAGCTCACACCCAAGTAAAGCTGCAGAGGATTTTAAAGATCTTTATAAACATTATGTTAAAGAACAACTCAGATTTAAGTAATCTATTAAAGTGATTTTTTCTGTTTGACACATGAAAAATTATCTTAGTAAGATAAGTAAGTTGCACTGACTTACGTTAAAAAATATAAAATCTTTGCAGAACCACGTTTAGTGAGTTTGCCATGAAGCACGGCAGAGATCCACGGTTTAAGAGCATCGACAAGATGAAGGACAGGGAGGCTATTTTCATCGAATTCATGACAGCATTTAGGAAGAGAGAGAAGGAGGACTCCAAATCCAGAGGAGAGAAGGTATTTCTTATTTAAAGCTGGGCTCTTTTACACCAATATCTTTTTACCATTTTTAAAGTGCGGGGAAGTTCACACTGTCATATAATATATATAAATCATAGGTTGTTGAAGTGTAAATAATAAACAGATTTTCTAATGAGAATATTTTTCTCCCAGGTAAAGCTAGACTTCTTTGATCTCCTGAGTGAGCAGCATATAGAGGGAAGCCATCGATGGAGCAAAGTGAAGGATCGGTTAGAGACCGACCCTCGTTACAAGGCTGTGGACAGCTCTGCGCTCAGAGAGGAGCTTTTCAAACAGTTCATGGAAAAACAAGCAAAGGTAGGAGCGGCTCTCTGGCAGACTCRCGATTTAACCAGGGGCAAAACTGTATTTCCCCGTTTTAGATTCAGTTTAACTCCTGTAAATTTAAGATATAAATGTTTGGTTCCCACAGAAACATAAGAATCTCGGCTAAAAGCTCGTAAAACCATTTCTACATCCACCAAATACGATTAAAACCACAAGCAGTTTAATCAGAAAGCAACCAAATTGTACAAAAAGGTATCGATGCAAATCTGTAATATTGACTTTTCTTTTTTTTAAATGAAAGTCAAAGGAAATACCAAAATAAGTTATAAAGTGTTTTGAAAGTTGTTGTTTTTTTACTTGATTTTAGTTTAATATGGTTCACCTGAAGTCAAATATAGCCATTTCTAAGTGTTTTATATGAATAAGGTGAAAAATGAATGTGTGAGAAATTAAAAAAAAAACATTTAAAAACAAATCTTTTCAGGCATGTAAGAAAAAAGTATTATTTTTTTGCAGTCAAGTTTTTTTTAAACATTTACTGGTGGTACCAACATGGTCCACCCTGTGCAGAATGAAAGAAAAGGTTATTTCTTTACTAAAACCTCTAAAACTTTGCTCTAGTTTACTTTAGCAGCATGAATATTTGCACAGGTAAGAGTTTTTAGCCTTATTAATAATATTTTTAAAAGGCTTATTTACCATCTATTGCACAAACAAAAAAAACTTAATATGATGGGAATAAAATTCATATTTTCTTTTGGTTTCATCCTCATCTCTGAAACAATACTAGCTGCTTTGTTAATTACACTTTGATGAAATCTCCTAAGTGTTTGCTTAATGTTGATGTCAACGTTATTTAAATAGATTTTGTAAATACTGAGATACACTCAGTTACATTTTGGCACGTTATTTCAAGCACAAACCTCAAGAAAACCCCTTGTAGAGGCAAGAGAAGAGGTTAAGGTGGTATCTAATGATGATGCAACTGTTGGAAACATTTTGATCCCTGAAATTTAAGTCAGAATTGAGAGAAAATCTATAAATTTTCAGCTACAGTCTCACTGAATTCAGAGTATTTATGACTAGTAAACAGCGTAGCCATCACAGCCAGGTTTATAAAACTATTCAACGTTGTTGTTGTTTGCATCCATTCACCATCAGTTGCTACCTGGTGAGATATTTACTTAATGTTCTAGTGATAATTAGTTTGAAAAAAGCTGCAAAATTAACTTTTTTAAAACTGATTTTACATTTTGTAAAAGAAAGGGATACAACTTAATAAAACAGTGGGAGGCACATCTGATCTCTTTGTGTTAAGAACAGGGTCCTGCACAGTTAACATTAGCTTAAACACAGGAGATTTAATGCGGCAGTCAATATTAATTTATTTTTCTTTCATGAAAACCTTTCCTGTATTGTACAAAAAATAAATATCAAATAAAATCTGTCATTACTTGCAGAATGTGGACATTGATAAGGAGCGTGAGATGGAGCGACAGGCTCGAATCGAGGCCAGTCTCAGAGAGCGGGAGCGGGAGGTGCAGAAGGCCCGATCGGAACAGACCAAAGAGATTGACCGAGAGAGGGAGCAGCACAAAAGAGAGGAGGCCATCCAGAACTTCAAAGCTCTCATGTCTGATATGGTGAGATGGCTTTCCTTTTCTGTTTGCACACAATTGATTTTTATTTTCTGCCATTATGTCAAATTTTCCATCTAGTAGAGTAAAAATAAATAAATAAATAAAAATTGTGACCCGGTGCAGTAAGAGATTTCCRTCCTCTCAGGTTCGCTCTTCAGATGCAGCGTGGTCAGACACCCGCCGCAACCTGAGGAAGGACCATCGCTGGGAATCAGCATCGCTGCTGGAAAGAGAGGAGAAAGAGAAGCTGTTTAACGAACACGTCGAAGCTTTGGCCAAGAAGAAGAAAGAACAATTCAGACAGCTGCTGGATGAGACCAGCATGGTAAAAACAAACAAACAAACAAACAAACAAACACAAAGAACAAATCCAAACGTCATCTGTTTGATTATTCTGGGCCTTAGTTCTATTTTAACGGGTGAAAAATGTTAATTATTGTTTTTAAATGTGTGCCTGTGGGTTTGTTGTAGATCACTTTAACAACTACATGGAAGGAAGTGAAGAAAGTAATCAAGGATGACCCTCGCTGTATTAAATTCTCCTCCAGTGACAGAGTAAGAGTATTTTTAAACAATTAAATTAAAACAACTTACAGTACTTCCATCATTTTGACGTTTGGTGTTCATTTGTCTTTGAAGAAGAGACAGCGGGAGTTTGAAGACTACATCAAAGACAAATACATCACCGCCAAGGCTGACTTCAGAACTCTGCTGAAGGAGACAAAGTTCATCACGTACAGGTCTGAACGCTCGTCTGGTTTGCTTTACGCCTCAAACAGAAAGGGTTKTAAAAGGTTGCTTCGTTGCACTAAACCTCAGTGTACACCTCAGCTAAAAGRGTTAGATCCAAGAAATATAACACATCTTATGTTGTAGAGGACTCTTTATGTGTTCACTACTTTAGTTATGAGTTCATCTACTTTGTATGGATTCCATTGAAACTAGAAAGTCAATATTTAAAATAAAATGACTTTTTTATACCAGAGAACTGTGTTATAAAGAGTTGTAAACCCAACCAAATCCTGCAGAGTTCATAATTTCACTCTGGTGGTTCTGATGCTTCTGTCAGGTCAAGAAAACTGATCCAGGAGTCAGATCAGCATCTGAAGGATGTGGAGAAGGTCCTTCAGAATGACAAGCGGTACCTCGTTCTGGAATGTGTCCCAGAGGAACGCAGGAAGCTCATCATGTTCTACATCGAAGACTTGGACCGACGTGGCCCSCCGCCCCCACCCACTGCCTCCGAGCCCACCCGACGATCTACAAAGTGACCAATCACATAATGGCCAGTGCCCCTCCCTGCTCTTCGTTTGGCCGGAGCATGACTTCCCCTCAGCACCCTCTGAACCCCGGCCTTCAGGCTGGCTTTGCAGTGTTATTGCTGAGGGTTAAATTGCTTACAGATGAACGGTTAAAGTCGCTGTTATGTCACCTCTTAGCCCTGAAGTAGCCCTGCGTTTAAAGGAAGCAGGGAGCAGAGGTTACCTGAACTCAAGGTGACACCCATGACCTCTCTGACTGACCACTTGAGAGGGAGAGGAAAAGTGACGAGGCTGTTGTCTGAGCGTCCACACAGATGTAAGATATGTGATGTAAATGAAGATGTGTGTGTATGCGTGCGAGTCTGGTGCACGCATGTTTAAATATGTGTGCATTTGTTGGAGGCGTCCTTAAGCCTTACAGCCCCACTGTGCCAGTCGTTCTTTCTGCGGCTCAGTGTGAATGTTCGTTTCGGCTCAGTGGTTCACTCCACCGTCACAGCAGTTTTTCTGTTGAATCAAATAAAGCAACTTCCACTGTTTTTCAATACGATGTACTGTCTTGTTTTTAATATCACGGATCAATGGAAACGTTACAAATGGAAGCTCAGTTTTCACTAAAATGGAAATAAATCTACAATTCTCAGCATTGTAACTTATTACAAAAAGTCAGATTATAAACTGACCAAAATCTGGTCTAATATAGTTTACAACAGACTTGTTTTTTATATTTTATAAATAGCCTCTTGAAAACAAAAATAGTGCTTTAATGCTTTTTTTTTTCATTCAACACAGCATTCTCAATATAAATTAAAGAGTTGGGTACAGTCTATTGAGAATTGCAGGAAAAATATTAAATTGTAATTTAAAAAAACTAAGAATTAGTTATCATATAAAACCAATTTTTCGAGCAACTACTGTGAAATACTAAAACATTTCCTTGTCTAATGTAAATATAAGCGGCTGATAAAGCCGACTGATCTGATTGGTCGAAACAACTCAAGTCACGTGATGTTGCCGGATGTGATCGTTCATTCATTAGTAGGTCAGATCTGCTCCTTTTTATGAAGTGCATCACGACGAAAATAAAGCTGCCGGAGGAATGATGCGTTACTTTAAACCAGAGCGTAATCTTTGGGAATAATTAAAGATGAAAAATAATTATTAAAAAAACAGCAATCACCTCGATATGAAGCAGTGAATGCTTTACTATTCATTTTAAGAATAATATGTTGTGGCTAACAAAAAACAAAATAAAATCCTTGTTACGTTTGTGTCAGGAAAAAAAAAAAGAGCTGACTAAGCGCCACTAAGTACGCCGGCGTATAAATGGTGCGGACCCCCTGAATTGTTCCGCATCCTCATCAACTAGCATCCTTTGTGCAGAAACGGTGTGGTTACCATCACGCTTACTTAAGTTTACCGCTAGTTAAATTCTAAACGCTATTATTTTAATGATGCTTTTTACATTTAAAATATAGAAGCTAACCTGTAGATAAGTTACTGAGAAGAACTCTAACATTTTTTCTACTCTTGTGAGTTGTTTCCGCTATGGGCGGCTTTCAGCTCTCTCTTTTGGCCGTCGTGCTGAGTATTTTGTCGGCTGTCGGAGACCAGGAGGCATCCCCTCATGTCGACGGAGCTCCGCCCTCTAAAATAGGCAAGACAAATCATTTTAGCTTATAAAGCCGCTAAAGCTAATGTTAGCATTATGGGAAGAAAATCTACCCAGAGATATGGATGTTTATTGAACAACTTCGATGCAAACATGGATATTTTTCAAACTGGCTGAGCCTCATCACAGCTTTCATGGACTAAACAAAACAGGAGAATGCTAACTGCTGAATGGTGGCTGAGCATTGCTGAAAACAGCTAAAAGATGCAGGACACTAGCATAAAGCTAATAGGAGCTAAAAGTAGTAAAATGCTAGCTAATAGGGAATAAAAGAAAAATACAAAAACAGGGGTTGGCAATCCTGGTCCTGGAGGGCCGCAGCCCTGCATGTTTTACTTGCTTCTCTGCTCCAACACACCTGATATGAATGAATAGATGATTATCAGGCTTCTTGCAGTATAATTCGAAATGAAAGCATAAATATATAAATGAACCACTAAATAAATACTTTTAAAATGCACCAATTAAAAAACAAAGGAGAACTTTATCTCATGTTYGTTTGAAATGACTTTAATATTTATTTTTCCAGGTTAGTTTCAATAAATTAGTCTGTATATTTTAACACATAATTTAAATTTTACTGTTTTTTTAAAATACACAGTTTGTTTTTCCTTTTACTTCGACATGCATTTGTGTCTCTTAAATGTTTATACTTAATTATTTTTATATTTTTCCCACAAGTCTTTTTTTTTATTTCTATGTGTTGCATGCTTGTGCTTTACTTTAGCTTAAAGATTAGCTTAAAACAAAGGCAAGGAGAAAAACTTACCTGTGCCTTTGTTTTTAACTGAACTTTAAGCTAAACTGAGGCAGCACACGCCTGCAATACACCGAAATAAAAAGACGTGTGGGACAAAACTATAAAAATAGTTCAATTTAAACATTTAAGAGACAAATGTATGTACAAGTAAAAGGGAAAACTGTATAAAATACATATATTTTAAAAAACAGTCAAATTTGAATTGTGTTAAAATATATAATTTTATTGGGAATAAGCTGGAAAAATATCAATTAGACGAGAATTAAATTACAAAACATGAGGTGAAGTTCTTTTTTAATTGAACTGGTGCATTTAAGTGCATTCATTTATTTACTGGTTCATTTATATATTTCAGTTTTTATTTATAATTATGTCAGTGTTGGCCCTCCATACTGCAGAACTTTGAAGATAAATCAGTGACTGAATCAGGTGTGTTGGAGCCAGGAAAAACGTAAAACATGTAGGGCTGCAGCCCTCGAGGACCAGGATTGCCCACCCCTGATCTAAAAGCTAAAAGATGCTAAATCCAAACCTAATGGTAGCTGCAGGCTAGCTTGAAAGGTAGAAAGCTAGCWAAAARCTAAAATAATCAGAARACTAAAAGCTAATAATGGAGAAAAGAAACTGAAAGGTTCAAGCGAGCTAAAAATAAAAGTAGCACACAATATAGACTGATAATCCTAACATTTACTCACACCTATTTCTGAGAYTATTGCTWTAAAAAAACAACAAAAACAAAACATCCTGTAAATGATGAGGCTAAAAGCTGTACAGGAACTTAAAATGATTATTTCCTGTTGTAGTTAAATTAGCTTGATTTCCCATAATTCATCACAGTAAAGCCTGGTGAAGTGATCCACATTAGATATCAGAAAAATACTATTTTTTTTCTCATCCTTCTCCAGCGGTGGTTGGAGCGGGCATAGGCGGCAGCGCCACAGCCCATTTCCTGCGACAACACTTTGGCCCAGAGGTGCAGGTGGATGTGTTCGAGAAGGGTGAGGTTGGAGGCCGGCTCGCRACTGTAACTGTCAACCACAATGACTACGAGTCTGGAGGCTCCATTATCCACTCCCTCAACCTCCACATGCAGGAGTTTGTCAAACAGCTAGGTAAGCAAGTTCACTCAGAAATCCTTTTTACAAATATATTACATCATAAAAACAACAGCGATGTTAAAAAGCTGACGCCAATGAAAGTTAAGCTTTTTAAATGAATAAAATTTTGTTTAACTCGAAAGCTTTTGTTGAGAAGTCAGTTAACCCTCATTATTAAAGGTTTTGTGTCCTCTTTTTGCCCCTCCAGGCTTGAAGCATCGCCGTAATGTGGCGGGAAAGACGGCGGTTTTTAACGGTGAAGAGGTGATTTTGGAGGAGACAGATTGGTACTTGTTAGACCTGTTCCGTCTGTGGTGGCGCTACGGCATCAGCTTCATACGCCTGCAGATGTGGGTGGAGGAGATTATGGAGAAGTTTATGAGGTATTTAAAACACTGGGACTCCTCGAAGGAGTCGGTRTCGCTCGCTGTCATTTGTGCACCAGATCAAAACTGAATTTGTCTCGTTTTGTTTTTTAACCCACTTTTGATTTGCTGAGGTTGCTTAGGTTGTGGCAGCCATCTTGAAAGTGGCTGAACTCAAAGGTTGATCAGTTCTTGATGCACATCCAGAATTTACTTTCTCAGTGTTACTTTAAAATACTGGTTCATAAGATATTTTGCTAACAAACACATTATTGTCCAGCTAAAAAGAGGAGAAGAAAACTACAATAAAATAGACTTATTATAAATAAGAAAAAGAATTAAGCATTTTTCTATAGAAGTTTGCTCGTATTATTCCTGCTAGTTTTGAATTAGGTGCTTTTTTTAGGTATTGTCAGTAAAACTCAGAATTAGAGTTTTATATGTTTATTCTCTTTAATCATGTGCCTTTAACCTGTGCAAATATTGTCACAGCAAAAAAATGCTTATGAGACCGTTGGAGCAGGAGCTCTGCAGAAATGCAGTGACTCGTCTGCATGAAATTATTAATCAGTGGATAAAAGAGGTGCTCTAATGAAATTCATGTTGTCTTTATCCTCAGACTAAACACAGAAATGAGACAAACTTATCTCAGATATCAGCCGGGATAAAATCATCCTCCAGTGTCGTTAATTCTTGTGTTCATGGCTCAGTTTCTGCTTTGAAACGTGAACCCACCACCTCTTTCACCGGCTTGATTTCCCCCCATCAGAAGTGTATTCTCACTGCAGCGGTTCTCTAGTCTCGAGTCAACAACTCTGAGCCTGTGTGTGCTTCTGTTTGTCCCAGCTGCAGACCTGAAAGTCGAAAACAAAATGCCAACATATGTTCTAAATCTGTCCGTTCAGTCTGTAATTACCTATAATTTRTGTTTACGCTGTAGGATCTATAAGTACCAGGCCCACGGCTACGCCTTCAGCTCCGTGGAGGAGCTGCTGGACTCTCTGGGGGGCAGCGGCTTCATCAACATGACCAGGAGGCCGCTGTCGGATTCGCTGCTGGAGCTGGGGGTGTCGCAGCGCTTCATCGACGAGGTCATCGCGCCCGTCATGAGGGTCAACTACGGGCAGAATGTCAGCATCCCCGCTTTTGTAGGTCAGCTTGTGTGAGAGGAGATGAGCGGTAGAGTTAGGGAAGTGGCAGGATGAAGGCAGTGCGTAAATATCACCC